GAAAATTCTTTTGAAAAAACATGTAGTGGTGTTATCATTATGGTTTTGAAATTACACAGAACTTTAATAGAAGGAATTAATCTAATTTTCCTTTAATGCTCAAATATTAATATTATTAATACTTAAATATTTAAGTATCTAAGGATATATATTAAAGTTTTCTAAGCATTAAAAGTGAACTTTTTTGGACTATGTATTATAGGCAAGGTAGTGAAACTTGAAGACTTCTTCCTACTAAGTGGAAGTAGCTGATTAACAATTTAAATGGTTTGGACTTTTAAAAGTATCCTTTTGTATCTTGATCACCCTTGAGGTTGTCAGAAAACTAACTTGTCTTTCAAGAAAGAACAGCTCATTATTTTGTGAATTCTTTACATTTCAAAATGGCAAATATTTTGATATGATCATGTAGTTGGATGGTTATAGATCTAAAAAAAATCTGAAATTAAGAAGTTGAAGTGAAAATTCAGCTTTAAGTTAGAGTTTTTATTTCTTTGTGAAAACAGATGGCCACCAAGAAGAGATTTAAGGCTTGCACTTTAGACCACAATCATTTCTAATTTCATAGATATAGATGTAATAGTGGAATATATTGCATCAAAGTCTTCATGTAAATTCTTCATGTTTTCCACAGTGTTCCTTGGACCTTGTGCAAACTCAAGGGAACATCCTGTGTAGGCTAATGATCATCCCTCATAACTGGTCACACTGTGAAAATGTCACCCCTGTGACTCTTCCCTTAATGAGAAAATGCAAGGGTTTTCCATCCTTGACAATTACTAAGTAAATTGACTCAAAATAGCTAAACCAAGGAAGCATGACTAAGGAAACATGACCAGAAACATCTGAGTCATTAGGTTGATATATTGATATTGTCTTTAAGGAAAATACTTTTCCTTACAGAACATACTTTTTAAGTGAAAGAATTTAATTGGGAAAAAAAAAATTGGTGGCCCAAGTTCCTGGGTGTTCCCTGCTGTTGGTAGACAATTCCATCTATACTTTTGTTGTCATTACAATGTATTTATTAAGAAGCCAGAATCTGTTTGTAGGTGTTGAGCACTTTTGGCATTCCAAAGAAAATTATTCCATATGATTAAATTATTGAACATGGAGGCAATTATGTGTATTTCAATGAGCCAACACACTCAGATCTGTATGTTATTCACTAAGAATCTAAATGAATCTGTCAAGCCAAAGTATTTTGAGGAAATGTTCCCATGTTTTTGGTTGAATACTACGTTCTAGACACTGAGGTGTTGTTGATATAGCACTGGTCAATGCAGACAAAGCTATTGTCTCTGTATATTATATTTCAGGAAAGTTTATGCTTTGGGAAACTCTTAAAAAATAAAACCAAACAAATTCAGCTCAATATCCTGACAAATTAAAATCATCTAAGTGATATTTTAACAAGCCTACTTGTAGTATCTACAGCAGTGTTCTAGGAACAGAGGCATGGCATCAATCAACATTTAAGATATGTGTTTTGAGATTCAACACATTCCTTCTTAACAATTCTGAAGCCTTTTATGCCACCCACAGTATCATCCCCACACTGGTGGGAGAGCATACAACAAGTTCTTGAGCGCCATACCAACCCATTGCCCAGTTCAGGTTTGTCAGGGAACTGAGTAACCTGAAGCATACTCTAGAGATAATGAGAAATCCTTAAAAAAAAAAAAAAAAAGAAAAAAGAAAAGTAAGAAATGACTCACCATTCTGTGCATAGCCACTTTCTCCAGAAACGGCTTGAAGTAAATAGAAAACCGTACCAAGAGCTGTACTTAGAATTGTCATTCTGAGAGACAGGAGAGGAGAGAGCTGAAGTGTGAGGCTGTGTGTACAAATGAATGAGAGAGAAAGAGGTTGAAGAGGTCCACAGCTCTATACTTACTTAACCACAGACAGGGGGAAGTATAAACACAGCATAAAAGAAGTCCAATGCTAGGAACAGGAAGTCTGAGTAAAAGTAGAGCTGCTGATAGCAGAGACAGAGGAAACAGAGAAAGAGGGAGGGCATTTCAAGTAACTGCACCTCTCTGGATTCCTTGCAGGCCCAGGCTCACTGTGTTTAGTTTGGAATAAGGTGGTAGGTTTCACAGCTACACTCAAGAGATCTAGACCTAAGTGATCCTCAGTTAAAAGAATCACAATCCAAAAATCTAAACCCACAAATCTAATCAATCGATTATTTGAGGTGAGTTTTGATTTAAAGAATGATTCTGCACTTTATAATTTGTTGTGGTTTTATTTTGAAAGCCAACCTCTAGGTTTCCCAAGAATATGATTTTCTGTTTTGTTCTCCGTGTATCCTTAGTACTTATCCATATTTTGCCCCTTATACTAAGCATTCAATAATTATTAATTTAATGCAAATGTTGGTGAATTATGGCCTAACACCTGTTTTTGGCCCAACACCAAATCTGGCCCAATGTCTGTGTTCATGAATAACATACCAAGATGGTACAACACATTTGTGCAATGTCTATAGCTGACTTTCTGCCACAGGGGCTGAGTTGAGGAGACAAGACAGAGACTCTATGATATAGTAAAATCTTTTCCATATGACTGTTTATGGAAAGTCTGCCAGTCTCATTAAAAAGACAAAATTGTTACTTTCTTAGTGTATTTAAATGGGGTTCTATTTGGAAAAATCTGATTTCCACACTACATCTCAGGAATGTAGAGTACATACAGACCATGCCAGTACCTATGTATACAGGGCAGCAGCCTAAGACAATGAGATAGCTAGCTCAGATTCTCCCAAAACTTGTATGTCAATCAAAATCATTCCCAGTTTGGCCTCATGGTTAAGGTGGTGGTATTTGTAAAGTCTGGCTCACTCCTTAGTAATTGTTGAATAGTTTTTTTTAAGCCAATTATCAGGATTACTACCAGGCTGATAGTAGTCCTCTCTGTAAAGCACAGACTGTGACTCCTGGAAGACATACTTCTGCTCATATCTTCATAGGAATCATGGAACCTGCATTCACTCATAAAGCAACTGGGCTTCACAGTTTTAGAAAGAAACTATAAGGCTGTCAGATGGTGAGTCTAGAGAAGCTGAGTTATAAACTTCTGTCTTGATTCCCTGTTGTTGGTAGATTGGTTCCATTGGCCTGTAAAAATGGCTAATAGAGATTAAAAACATCTCCCAGGGTGGGAAGCCAATTAGAGTTTATGAAAACTGAATGACTTAGTCAGTTTCATCATTGTAGTTATCGTGACAATCTAATAAAATGAGAAAAGAGGCGGTGGGGTGTTTGTATCAGTCTAGAGTCTCCTCTTCAGTTTTGAGGCAGACTCAGAGACACATGGTCTGCATCAGTTTTAGTGCATGCTCCAGACACCACACCCAGGGGGGATTTCAGAGCAAGAATCCAGCTGAAGGGGACATAGCCCATCTCTCCCATCTGTTTGGGCCTTCTTTTGGTGTTTCAAAATACTTCCCTAAAACAAATAAAGAGTGATAATGCTTTTTATAATCATTTGTGTCCTCATGTCTAATCTTGTTTAGAATATTTGGTTAGAAGAATTTTAAGTAAGCTTTATTCATAAATATTGGTAGATGTTATGTACTCAGCTGAATACCCTCTTTAGAAAGCTCTAGTTGCAAATTCTCATGAACTAAGCGAATGTTCAAGGATACATCACAAACTGTCTGCTCACCAATCCAGATGTCATAAATTGTTCCTAGATTGTCACTTAGTGGATGAATAATTGGGTGATGTCTCTTTAAATTCTCTTGTTTATCATTTAAGTGGACTATCATTTTGATTGTATCTCTTTCCTTTAGTTGTGAAGATGTAAAAGAACAAAGTGAAGACACAATATTTTGGTACAGCATGTGCTAGTTTGCTCAGGGGATTTCCACTGGTGTGCTCACCCACTTTGGGTGGGGCGGGAGATGGTGAACGGGCCTCAGAGAGAAACCTAAATTCAGCATGTGGCGCTCCACGGACAATGAGAAGGGTCACCAATCCTTCTAGAATCAGACTGTGGGGGATGGCAGACAAGAATGGTGCCTTCTCTCTTTCCTCACTCATCTTGTTGGTCCTTTGAAACGTGGAAAAGCTGAGGAAGACCTTGCTCCACCTATTCCTCAGATGAGGGACATTTCATATATGGCATTGTCATTATTGTTTGTCGGACAAGAACAAACAGAGAGAAGAAAGGAAAGTTAGGAAGAGCCTGCAGAGCACCTGAGCATCCCAGCCTGAGGTCAGGAGGCGCATATCTGACCATGAGTGAAGCAAGTCCCCGCATGGCAGTTTCTGGGACCATCTGACTTCACCCGGGTTGTGCTCTTCTCTCAAGACTTCCTTTTATCTCTACCTTTCCTCTTCCTTCTGTTGTACATTGTCTTCTTCACTCTCATGAGTTCCTATGATGTGGTGAATCATTGAAAAACACTCAATTTTCTTGTTTCTCATCTGCAAGCAGAACACCCTGATTTCGAGCTCAGACCCCTATTGCTCCAAGTCTCCCCTGCCTTCTTCCCCGCTCACCCCAGTGATTATCCAGGCCATTTGTGAAATAGACAAAGCACATAAAAAAGATTTTCTTTTATTTTCATATTGTAAAAGACTACATGATGCTCCTGTATAGCTGGTAGAGACCAAAAGAGTTTGAAAATCTAACCTATTAGTGAGATTTCAGATCCTGTAGTGTTAAAATGAGAAGACTGTGTGAATTCTTTATTTGATTGTGGTTTGTTTTAACTCTATTAAAGCCCAGTCCAGAAAGATACAAGCCTTCCATCTTTTTGCCAAACAGAAAGGGCAGAAGTTTTCCTGGGTAAATTCAGGCTGAATGTCTTAACTTCTTACTTACTTACTTACTTACTCATTTTTACTACTTGGACACATCTCTTAGGAACAGAAATTTCATTTCTATCCTTTACAGAAATTATAAATCGAGTAAGATAGATACCAGAGCATTCTCTCTTTCAGCACTCATGGGAAACAAACTATTTCCAGAGCAAAAGAAGTTCTGAGTCAGTTTTTAAATGAAGTTTATTACATAGCCCTTACACATTTAGTAGTTGGTCCAGAACAAGAGTATTGAAAAGCCACTCGCCCTGTGCTTGTGTATTGAAGGACAGAACAGTGACACACAGCAGCAGCCTATTGCAATAGGAATATTCTGGAAAAAACCTGATACATGAAAAATACACAAAAATTTCCAATACCCAGTCTTCAGAATCTGTCTTGACTACTCCTTGCTGCAGTCAACTTACCTTCTTTAATTAAGCAATTGTATTCTTAAGATGAAAAACAATTTTTGGCCTCCATCTTCCTGGAGGTTGGGAGGCCTGCTCACCGCAGTGAATGGTGTCAATCCAGAGCTAAGGAAAAAGAGAAAAGCACCCCAGGCACTGAGTAGGTGAGGATGGTTGTAGGGAAACCTCCTGCAGTTCTGGTCCTACATTAATGTCTTCAGCATTTTATCAATAGGTGCTGAGTCAGTCTCTAGGGCTCAAGGGGGAGTCCCAGCATTGTGATGTTTCATCTCCAGGAGCACAATATGTTCCTTGTTGTGGCTCTTCTTTCATTTCCCTTTCCTCCTCACCCCAGCTCTTCAGTCCTATGTCTTGGTGTAGTCTGTGTTCTTTCTGGGCAGATTTTGAAATGTCACAGTTGTTTTGCTTTTACAAGATTTCAGCCTCGATCTCTGATGCAACAAGAATGGAATGTTTGAGCACCAACCTTGTCCTCTTTGATGTGCTATGAGAAAGTGAGTGCTTTGATTTCAGAACATGCCCAACTTTTGATAAAGGTTTGAACAACACACATTGATCCTTGGGGAGAGTGATGTGCCTGTTGGCAAAGCTGACTCTGGGTGCTTCTGTGATTCTGAGCTTCTCCCAGCTCAGACTCAAGCCCTGGAATATGCCTGGTGTCAGGCCCCCAGGCCCCCAGGCCCCCAGGCCCCCAGTGGTTTGGGGGAAGTCTGGACAAAGTGACTACCTGCTATGCCCAGGCCTATTCCTCTCCTCAGAGTCTCTTACCTGTCTTTACAGTCTGTTCTGAGAGACTGCAGCTGAAATCCACACTCTACCAGCCATATCCCAGCCCAGACCCCTGGGAACATCAGCAGAGGCCTCACTTCAACTTCAAACCTCCTCTTGTCCTTTTGGAACCCAAGACCTATGTGCCACTGAAGGTCCCATCAATAAGCTCTACTGTTCTATATTTTCCTGAACAAACTATGCAAAGTCAAGATTTGAAGCGACCCTGAGTGATACTCTTCATGAAATTGCCACAGAGATTCAGCATATGACTCTAAAACAGAAAGAGCAAGGGGTCTGTCTGATGTTATAATATATCCACCTTTGTTATGTTGTTATATACAATTGTCACTGTGAGAACTGGTCCAAGAAAATGGTAGAGTATCGTTGACTTTTGTTTTCCTCATGTGAACCTTTATGATTTTATTTTATTGTCAGCCTTAGGAACCTTTGGGGTTCAATGCAGCCTTTTGTTGCTGTTGCATGTACTACCTGGGCTCTGCTGTTGAAACAAGGAGACACAGAACAGTGGCTTTCAAAAAGATGCAAATGTATTGGTTTTTCATAGTATATGATCCAGGGAAGAAAGACAGCTCTAAGGTAGTGCCTTCATTCAGAAACCCAGTCTCTTTCATTTCCTGGGCAACTGCTCATGTCTTGAGTTTGATTTAGGAGCACCATGATCCTATTCCAGTCAGTGGGAAGTATGTCAAGGGAGAAACTGGGGAGAAGCCAACTTTTCTTTTATGGAGATGATTGGGAGTTACTTCTGACTCATGACCTAATGGACAGAAACCCCATGGCCACTTTAGCTTCAAGGTAGGAAGGTAAATGCCATCGAAGAGGAGTTGCTATGTGCCCAACTAAGGCTGAGTTCTATTACTTAGAGGAAGGAGGGGAGAGTGTGTGTTGGGAGAACAACCTATGCAAGAACTGTACTCTCAGGGGTGATGTACGTATGAGTTTTGTGGACACCACAGGCAGCAGTAGCTGCCTTCAATTGTGGAAGGATGGAGGAGACATTTGACCTTGGGATTTAGGGATGAGTGAACCTAGATCTGGTTAGGATGGAGCTTGCACTTGGCCAGTGAGAAGGTAAGATTATTCATATTTATATTATAGCCATTTTTCCTGATCTCAGATCTCTGATCCCAGGATGTTTTCAAGATCATCAAAACTCTAAAACCAATATCCCAAATTGGGTAATCTGTGAGTCTCCTGAAACTCTAAGTAATATGTAAGGGGAAAAGATTGTTTTATTTTTTTATACTCTCAAAAGTATAAGTATGCAATCTTTCAATATGACTCCTCCCCCAACAAAGTTTCAGGTAATTTCTAAGTCCCAGAGAAGAAAGGTGCAGCCTTGGACATTCAGATGCTGCTGGGAATGAAGAAGAGAAATGTGGAGAGCAGTGACTGCAACCCTGCCCTCTGATTCCCTTGTGGCTGTTTTTGCCCCGGGGGCTGCCTTTCTGAGGGTACTTGTCAAGATGCTGCAGTTGCTATGACAATACCAGCCAAGAGTTACTATTGAGGAAGGCTCCTGGCTCTAATAGTCAGAACCTTGGATTCAGGAACCAACTCCAGGGATAGGGTATTCTGGGGACAACAAGATGTCTCAAGGTTATCTTTCACTGCATCTTTCAGTTGGCCTGCTTTGCTAAAACTTTCTCACAAACAACTCTTTTTTTAAAAAAAAATAGCTATTATTTTTCTTTCTTTCTTTCTTTTTAAATATATTTTAGTTGTAGGTGGACACAATACCTTTATTTATTTGTTTATTTGTATGTGGTCCTGGGGATCAAACCCAGGGCCTCACGCATGCTCAGCAAGCGCTTTGCCACTGTGCACAGCCTCAGCCCTCTCACAAACAACTTTCTGGTGAAAAACCTATATAATTAATGGGCTGATCTAGCTCTGGAGTCAGTTAAGCTTCACCAGGGCTTGGCTACCCACCTGGCTCCACTTTTTCTCTACGTGTGTCTGCTTGTCTTCTCTTCACCCCCCTTCACCCCTATGGTTCCTGATTTAGTGATCCAGGAATGAGGCCTTGGCAGAGGAAACCCTCCCTTGTCCTTATCTCCACCATGGATTTGCACTTGAGGGACTGAGGAAATCAGTATGGAAGTACTCTGAGCCAGGAGGATGGTCAGTTCTTAAATTTGTTATTTATCATAGTAATCTATGTAGGATCTTGTGTGGAAAATAAGTAAGTTCTAAATGCTTTGAATTTTAAGGAATGAGGCATGGTCCTGGAATCATATCATACATACATGGAGTATATCTTCCCATTCTTGTGCTTGTACATAATGTGGAGTTACATAGGTAGTGTATTCATATATGAATATAGGAGAGTTATTCCCAATTCACTCGGACTGTCTTTTCTATTTCCAATCCCCTTGCTGCTCCCCACTCCTTCCTGCCCAATCCAGTGAACCTCCACCCTCCACCCCCTCAATCTATTGTGAATTAGCATCCAGAAATCAGAGAGAACATTATGTCTTTGGATTTTTGGGATTGCCAGTGCCTCTTATCTGCATTTTTTTTGGTCTGCAAAAGGGGAGTGGGTGGGGAATATTTAATTTGGCTGGATATTCTGCAATTAAAGTACATGGCTCAGTGTCCATTACACAGGGATTTAGTGCATGTAAGTTTCTTTACTGTCTGATTTTTCATCAAGAGCATAACAAATATGACAAGTGACATTATAAGATATTGTACCATGTGTTCCCCTCTTCACATTGACTTTTACACCCTGGTCTTCTCCAACCAGGTATCCACAGCTTTCTAATATGTTCATATTAGAAAGCAATTTAAATTCATGGATTTCAAGTTCAGAAGCCACACACTCTAAAGAAAAGAAAGTTTAGAACTTTCAATATTACCTCCTACACCCCAAGGGCAACTGTGTTTGAGGCAAGACATCCCGTGCAAGTGCATGTGTGTATTCCTGAACTGAGGAGGGAGAGGGAAAAAGGGGTCACAGAGAACAGCCTTGAATGTTGACAAGCACTTATAAGATGGAGCCCTCATCTTGCTGCACTGTGAGAGGAGAGGGAGCAAGTCCCAAGGTAGGCTTGGGGGATGCTAGAATACCAGGCTTCACTTATTACCTGCATGCTGGGATGTGGCCGTCCCCATGGTGTTCCTAGAGCATCAGGGTCCTGGAAGACAAGAGATGTCACTTAGGGTGCAGCATAGGAAGGATCAAGCTAGACTAATTGAGTTCCAGTGTGCCTAAGAGTGTTTTAGTAGCATAGCTTCCCCAATCTCCCAAATGAAAGGTCTACATTGGTGCTTTGAGCACATTCCCAAGTCATGTTCTCTGACTCTTCTGATCCATATTACCTCCTACACCCCAAGGACAACTGTGTTATTCTGGGAAAGGAGACCTGAGACAACTTAACTGTCCTTCCTACCTACCTTAGAGAAAGTTTTCCCTAGAGGGGTCTTAGAGAGACCAGGCATTGAAATCCCAGTCAAAAATGGTAAATGGGAGGTGGTAAGTAGGTATTTTGTTGAGAAATATCAGGAGTTAGCAGAAACGCCCAAGGCAGTAGCATTAAGACAAGCTGTACCATTTCTGAGCTACTAAAGATCCAGTTTCCCCTGTTCCCTTATTCTTCATAGAAGGGACAAAGAAAGTGGAAACACACCCTCTGGGTGGAGTCTTAACCTGTGGTTATCTGCACTAACTCCATCTCACTTTCTTGCCCACACTTTGACACACAAAGCATTGTAGGGGACAAGGACTCCTTACAGTCATCCTCACCTGCATGGAGTTCTGAAGTGGGAACTTGGACTCCATTCACTCCAGAAACCCTCATAATATTCACTATACAGGATGGATAGGACTTTAATCTCATACATTGCATCAGGTTGCAGTTTTCTCTGCAGGAGAGTCAGCTTTGTGTTGGATAAATTCACGTGCTAAGGAGAAAAATGTGCCAATATATTTTTAGGATGGAAAATGAAGTGTTGCCTAGATCTTTCAAATTACTTCAAGTTCAACTCCTTGAGTCACACAGGCACCCTCTTGAAGTTCTCTCATATTTGTCAGACTAAGGAGCTTAAATACATAGAGGGCTCAGCAGCAGAATTAGGGACAGAGAGTGTGAGCTCATAAATGATGCATGAGCGGCCAAAGAGAACAGTGATAGAATAGGTCTTTATACAGGTGGTGATGTCTCCAAGCTTGGGAAGAGGTAGGTCTGTCCCAGGCTCCCAGTTCCTCCTCACAATTCAGTATCTTCTTTTTCTTTCTTTCCCCTTTCATGTGGCAAGGGGAGAGAACAGCATAGTTTAGTGAGCAAGATAATATCCTTCCAGAAAGATGATTTTACATCTTGAATAGCAATACAGAGGCAATTGTCTCCCCAAACACTGTGTATTATCCTTAAGCAAGGAAAAATAAAGGAAAGGAAAAATTTGATTGAAAATCTTATTTCATTGTTATTTACATTTACATATGTTGGATTAGTTTTAGTATATTTACTAAATTTACATATTTCTTATATAGGCAATTTTTTCAAATTTTTTATTCATTGTTCTATGGTGATATTTATCTCTTAATGATTTATAAGAGCTCTTTATATAGATTTTAGTGATCCATCAGCTGTAGATGTGGCAATATAATCCTAAGTTTTAAATTGCCTTGTAATTTTTATTATTGTGTGTTTACATAGATAAGTGTATGATGGAGGGTAGACTTCTGATTTATTTTTTTCCCCAGACAGCAAACTGATAGTCTTGGAAGCATTATTCAAAATTCTTCCTTTCCCCCAATATTTGTTTTCCATTTGTACGATTTTTAGATGAATAATGGAAAACAGTAGGATTAATGTCATTCAGTCTCTCTCCATGTGTGTATGGGGTGAATAAAAGAAGGGAGCCAGTGTTTGGGGCAGGGAGTATGTTTGTGCAATGTTATTTGCATACTGCAAACAAACAAGGGTGATCCTGGCCTGAGCAAGGAGGGCAGTGGCAGTAAGTAGGCATTCTTTCAGTCCCCAGAAAGAGAAGGCATCCTTAGGTAGTGCTTTAAGATGAACCTAATACCTGGAATCTTCTACACTTCTTCCACTTCCTTACAATACACCCAGATAGTCCAACCTCAGAAAACCATGAAGAAAGAGGCTAAATAACCATCCAGATAATAAAGAATGAATACTAAGTTCAATGACTAAGACCTCAGACTTGAAAATAAAAAGAAAACAGAGATGAATCTGCCCTTCTTCTCCTTACCTCATCATGCTCCCCCAAATTCTCAAATCAAATGGTGGTCACATCTTCTTGCTAACTATTCAAAGAGTGTTTTGCTTAAGAGTGTGGTACTAGGCATGGCACTTTTTGAGGCCTTTGCATTGTGAGGATCCATTTGGTCTCCATTTATGTGACTATCTAACTGAATTAGAAACATTATAAAGACAAAAATAGAGTAAGGGGGAAAATCAGAGCAAGACAAGGACAGGCTAGGAAAGGTGCATGCATATGGGGCCCAAAGCTGACCCAATATTGGGAGCTTCTTTTGGTAAAGGGTATATTCTGAAAACAAAATTATTAAGACTTTCTGGAGCAAATGTACTTCTACGACAATAACTTATATAACATTTAAAAGTTTTTACTATGAAACATGATTGATCTACATACCATCCAATCCTTTTTATCTTTTTCCTGGCGGTAGGCTATGTCATGCATTAATTGCTTTACATACTTCTTCTTCAAGTGTGATGTATGAAAAGTCACCACAAAGTCATTGGCTTCCTCACGATAGATGACTTTTATGTCAAAAGGAGCCTCAGGTTTAACTGAGTAGGGAAAAAGAAATGAAGTTTGTCTATAAAGTCATCAAGGAAAGAAGGATTATATATATATATAATGTATGTATATAAAACCAGGGATTGATCCCAGGAGAACTATACTATGGAGCCACATCCCCAGCAATTTTTATTTTTTATTTTGAGACAGAGTCTCACTAAGTTGCTTAGGGCCTCTTTGTGTTGCTGAGACTGGCCTTGAACTTCCATCAACCTGCCTTAGCCTCCTCAGATGCTGTTTTTCAAGTGTGCACCATCACATCCAGCCATGATCGTATGAAATATCCACCTACACTGAAAATCATTCTGACCATATGTGGTTCAGTAAGCAGTTAACAAATTAAAGCCATCACTTCTTTTTCCTGGGCTCAAGTCCAGAATCTATCTCCCAGCTACCCTTGTAGCAGGGAGTGACCTGAATGATGAGTGAAAGTGACTGCACCAGCTCCAACCCTGGTACAGAAACACTCTCACCCTCCCCTGTGTGATTCCTGAGTGCACTCCTCTTCCTTCATTTGCATGTGTATATTCAATGATGTAGCTACAGGATGTGGGAAGCCCTAATTATTGCTTAAAGGAACACTCTTCACAAGTTAGGAATATAATTTTGCCTTTGATGTGAGTAAGCAATAGACTTAGGGTGTCAAATATCATATGTTTAGGGTCTTATTTGTTACATCTAGTGCAAATTTCATAACAAAATGTATTCTCTTTACCTTTGGAATATCGGAGAAGGTATTACTAAATATCCTCAAGCAAGAAGTCTCAAAACTCTGGGTTTTCATTCTTCCAGTAAGACTAGGAGATGGCTGGGACCTTTCACCTCATCTTGGCTACACAGAGTGAAGTATCTGCGTGCTGGGCCTTGCTGGTAACTTCAGAGTGGCCTCAAAGCTCTTCTTTGTCAACCTCAGCTGCATTAACTCTGAGCTCCTCTTGGGCCTCTTCCTTTGGCCTGCCTGCCTCACACAGTTGTTCTTAAGATCAAATGTGCTATGTAAGTTTAGCTGCTGGAGGCCGCTAGGGATGATTTCAGGCAGAACAGGTCCAGAGAAAAGTATTGGTTTCCCAGGAAAGCATCAGCATTGGACCTCCTCCTCATCTTTGATGTGAGACTGCTGTGTCTTGGTTTCTCCTTTATTAGAGTCAGGGAATTCAGCTTTCTGAGGATGGGGCCACTACTCCTGCATGAATGACCTGATCCTCTTGTTAATGAGAGGGTGTGTGGACCACTGTGGAGCTCTCTGAGCCAGTCTTGATAAGCCAGGCTCCTGGGCCAATCAAGTAAACACTTGTGGTGGAGTTTGCCCAGATATTCTATTAACTTGTGGTACTGGGGTGACATTGCCTTAGAGGGACTGAAAAACAGATGGCTTCTTCTTTACCCTGGGGACTTTGTAGAAGGGGTACTTTATATTTAACCCTCATCTACACTGTGTAAAGCAAAGATGACCTAGAGAGGGTCAGGAGGAAAGAAAGTGTGTGCAGAGAAAAGCCCCACAGAGGATCCCTGTGACCCCCTTACACCTGCCTTCATTCACATTCTCAGCAAATGCTTCTGAGACTAAGGCCCTGCTGGTCACTGTCCCCCAAGGACTCTCCAGACAGCTTTGCCTTTAGCCAAAATGGATCTATGGCCAAAGGAGGAAAAGGTGTTCATTCCCGAAGCAATATCTAAAAAATTAAGTTATTCTTATACAACCTGAACATGTCAATCTATGCTGCCAAGCACAGTGGGAGGCAGAATGCTGTCACTTATTAAGTGTGGGACACCTAAAGGGAAGGATGTAAGAGAGGCAGCTGGTGGTTACAGAGGTGCTTTGGCTCTGGGGCATAATTAGGAGCATTCATTTTAAATTCAGTTAAACTGAAATGTCACAGTAGGAGCTAGGAGAAGATGTAAGTCTTCACCATTTTTCCCTCCTGCTTGCCCAGGAGCACTTTCCAAAGCCCCAAGAAAGACACATCACCCCTTTCTCAGGATCCTGTGTTATCAGCTGTGTACCCACCATACTTCCCATTCCTCCTCAGATGAGAATTGTCAGGTGTGCAGTCTGCTGTTGGGGCTGTGCTGAATGTGGCACTCTTTGGCATTGAGCACATGAGATTTGGATCTGAATGTGGGTGTGCTGTGAGCCTTTATGTGCATGCAGGGACTTGGGTGCTGACATGGCTTTGTATAAGAATGAGCTCTCCCCTGGTGTTGAGCCCTGTGTCAGAAGACCAAGAATCTCTGTCTTTT